GTGTTTCTTTTTCCTCCTGTGGAGTATTGTATTTCAGTGACAGATCTCACTGTATTAAATGTCAAATCTCAACCTGAAGCAGCCCGTATGGGCTTACAGTATTCTAGGTAAAAGCAAAAGTACTAGACAGCACTTTTTCGAAACCTCAAAGCTGCAATGAGTTCTTTGCATGAAGTACTTCAACTCTCTTATTTGACATAACCGCTTAACTGCATGAATCAGGCGGTAAATTATATCACTTACTGTCCCAAATGTTGTCTTTTACAAGCTTAAGGTGTCTGCCACTGCACAAAGAGCAATTGTGAAGGCATTGAGCAAACATTGCATTTCACTGATTTTGGAGATTTTGAACACATTTCTCTAAACGCCCAGAATACGTACACCAAAGTTAATTACTCCATAATCAAACTTCAAGGCTCTTTCGCTAGGCTGCACGACATACCAGTTTCCATGAAGTTTAAGCAAAACACTACATCCTTCTCGGCACACAAAAAAGGATGCTTGGATCTGTCACTGTAATTCACAGCCTTATGATTTCTAACAGGATATAATTGTTTGTCCAAGCCAGTTTTCGGTCGCCTTAAGATACTTTCCTGCAGCCAAATAGAATCGAATGGCTACTCAACATACCATCAGCATTGTGAAAACACACCAAGCATCCAAAGACATTAGCTTGCATGAAGGGAATCAACCCATCAACATTACGAAACAGGACCTGGTGCGGGAATTCTGGTGTACAGGATGTTCTTAAAAAGTTGTTCTATTTCACCTGGCGAAGCATAATCCTGTAAAGGAATGGCCAGAGCCTTGGGCTGGGGTTTTAATGCACCCAAAGTTTACATCGCTCAATAACATTTTATGAACATTTTTATTTGCTGTGCATATGTGCGGCATTGGTATAAAAAATGTGTGTGTGCCCAACCAATCTAAGTTAAATGCGTGCTCGGCTAAACCAAATTGCTTGGTGGTACAGTTGAACTTGCATATATCCAAGCGGCATATATCGAAATATTGTGAATATCGAACAGGTAAAATCTCGATGGATAATTTTCAATATACAAAGTATTCCATATTTCAGATTACTTTTCTATAAGACTCTTTTTGTTATCCACTTCAAATTCAATATATTTGGGTTCGACTGTAGTTAAAAAACTTATACACACGTAAACGTTGAATATCTGGTAGGGTACAATCCACGACCTTCTACCTAGCCCCGCCATTGCTTTGAGGCAATAATGACTATGTTCTATCCACGAAACAGTCATTAAAAATGCAGATTAAACTCCTAAATAATAAACCAGATTTTACGAATTTCCCATTAATTCGAAGGGTTGTGGGTTTAGATCGTACTGGTATAGTATAATTCATAACCTTCTACATAACCCTTTTGTTGCTTTGAAGCAATAATGACAGTGTTCTATCAATGAAACAGTCCACGGTCAGTATGAATATAGCTGAAATTGGAAAAAAAAAAATCTGATTATATGAATTTCCCATAAGTTCAAAGTTGGGGGTTCAGACCCCACTGATGGAATGGGTAATTTTTTGTCTACTTCATTTCAATTTATGTCACAATTACCACATTGCACTTAAAGACAATGTCTCTATGCCTTTCTTGGCCCAAATGTCTGTTGGATTCATGTGGTTGTGTCTATCAAAGGTATGAGCCCTTAGAAAACATTCTTCCCATTCCATTCTAGTGAAGAAATTTTAATTCGCTGGTAGGCACCCATAGTTTTGAATGTTGTCATCTACTCAAATTAACTATGTTTTTATGGTACAAAACCTGATTTAACAAAGTTTTTCTGAAAATACACGAGTGAAAATTGAGTGGTTTTTGGTATAGTTTTGTGTTATCGACTGACTTTTCTACAGGCATATGTTGCAATGCTATCGCACTGAAACAATCCTAGTTTCGTCTTGATGAGGCTCAGTGCCACAAATATGCGCATAAAAAAGGACTTGATGTTCAGTAGTTTTTTATGTACCAAACACCACTGGAGACAGTGATAGTGTGTTGTCCCTGTAATGCTCCCACAGAAATGTGGCAATTGCCTTTGTTATTTCATGGCTGATGCAACGAATAGTGCTGATCATCTTCTTGCAACCTTTTTGCTGTACTTGCTCGCACAACCACTGCATTCATTCTCCCCATTTTTGCATATCGATCACTTGTCATAGCTTCACACGAGTCTACCTCGCTTGTATTGCCCTGACATTGGGGGGCTGCACGCCTCACATGCGGAGGCATGCGTTAGTGGCAAACAAAATGTCACAGTAGCTTTCAGGTGTCCATACAATTTTAAATTTTGAAGGAACAATAAGTTACTGAAGTCTCAATTTAAAGAAATTGTCAACCAGCCATAACGTGCGATTAAATCATGGTATAAATGAAAGAACTGTGGAACACAGGGACAGATTTGAGCATTCATTTCCTGTTGCGAGTAGGATTTATTTTTTTAAATCGTGTTAAAACTAATAAAAGGCGGTATGACCTGCAGCCTAGCGTAAAAACCTGGAGTTTATGGAGTTCATAGCACTTAGCTGTATGTGATCACATTGTCTGATGCTGTCATGCAAGCCATAATTAGTCCTCAAAATTCAAAGTATGCATGTTATTATTCATTACCGCTCTATTCTGCGCTGCTTATGAGGTAAAGATAGTTCACGGTGAGATGGGCGCTTCCTTCGTGTCAGCCGGTGGACCAGGTCAAGCCTGCATGCACAAGCCTTGAATGCGAGCGCACTGAATTGCTGCACTTGAACATGAACTGCTCTCACACTCACCATTTGCAGCATATGTTGTCATGTGTGTACGACTTCATATTGGCTGCATATAAAAAATTTCTGATTACAAATGTTTCGCTGTGTTTTTCCCTCTGCCATTCCGTGACCAGACTCACTAACTAGTAATCTCTCAGTTGTGACAGAAAAAAGGCACAATGAAAATCGGTATTCGGTTCTTTTAACTAAAAAATAGAGTGCAATCATCATTGTGTTAAATTAAGTTTCAACTTCTTGATTTTTTGTGTCAAGATTGTGTATTACACTTATGTATTCTGATACATGTAAATAAAAGGCCTTGCAGCTTGAAAATGTTTGGCAGGCTATTCTAGAGGTCCTTCAAAACATTCTTCTCATGTGCAGTGTCGTGGCATGGGAGCACTGCATTTTCTCACAGCTGCTACTTCATGCATTCATCAAGCAGATTGCTGTAGTACAAAAGGGAAGAACAAATATTTATTAAAAATTTTAAAGCCAAAGATGAGGCAAGTAGTCTGCAAACTTTACCCAAACATCTGAATATTAGCTCAGTTCAGAGAATTATGTAATTTGCATGTTTTTTTTTTCTTCTGTCCTCTATTGCCACAAGAACACACCAGAAATAAATAGCCAATATACTTGCGCTTTTTAAACCTAGTCTTGGAAAGGATTGCATTTTGAATAACTTCAATTTACATACCTCTAAAGTGAGTTTGTGTAGTCAGTTTTCCGACTATTTCCCTCATCTTTAGCTTTAGAGCCATTTGTATATCCTTCCAATTTTGTACTGCTGCAAGTAGCTTTATATGTGGTGTTTAACTCCCAAAACCACCAAATAATTATGAGAGACGCCTGTTGCAAGTAGCTTCTTAAAGGGGTCCTGCAACAAATTTTCAGCATGGTCAATCATAAAGCACTGCCATTCGGTAGTCAAGGCTCCTGAGAACACGCGAGCCAAACATTATACTGCAGCACGTGTCCTGGAAGTTGCATTTATTTCTCAAAGTTGGCAAAAAAAAAAAAAAAAAAACGTTGCATCTTCTCTTGACAAATGATGCCACAAACCCTATTAGCGATTGACTGATTTGAGCATCGCGAGCTGCACAGTTACATCAGCCACTGCGGGAAGCCGCTATAGGCCCCTACGCGGGCTCATAATTATACTAAAAGTAAGACGTGCCTTAGGAGGAGACAGAATAGGGTGTTAGGATAGGGAAGACAGAATAGGCTGGAACCCTATCCTGTCTCCTCCTTTTTGGTTTCTTGTCCAAGTTGTGCCATAAATATTATTTTTAATTTTAACAATTGGATTTACTAGTTCTAAATCTTCAAAAACCATCTGCAAGTTGTTCTTCAGGAATTCATAAGTAGCTGTGTTTTTGACATGCACACATGGCAAAAGTTGGCTACTAGCAGAATCACGTGTTGCCTGGCACAACAGCAAATGGCACGTCAAACAGAGTAGGCGTTCGGTTTGTCTGTGCCGTATAAACCAGAATTGCAACTGTTGCACAGTGACATTTGTTCTAAAAGTGTAGCTTAATACCTCTTAGATACTAAAATTCTGTGTTGCATTTACAAATAATTCTGCTTGTCTATAGCATGACAACTTGTCCATTTATGGCATGTTCATAGGTATTTCTCATTAATGAGTGCAAGTAGCTTTAGGCTTTTACTAATTTCTGAGCATTATTTGTTTTGCTTCTGGCACAAAAGAGACATTACTATCCAACTTGCATACCCTCAAATGTGGGGCCTTGTGTACCCCATACCTGCAGTTCGGGCCCAATATGTTCAATGCGCTGCTACTGGTAGTACCTGAATATAAAGTAACAGTTGTTTAATGACATAGTTGCCTACTCTTGAGAAGTTCTGAGAGAAACACAAAATTTTTTTAAAAATTTCATATACAGTGAATGATTTCATGTCAAAGAACACTCCCAGAAAACCACATAAGCAACATGCTGCACAGACTTGCCCAGTGTGTACATTGAATATTGCAATTACAAAAAGAAGTAATTACCTTTTTGTACGTTCTGATCCCATAGCGACATAAAATGATCATTAAAACAAGTCCGGCCATTGTGAATAAAGGTAACGAAACGTAAAAAACTGAACATAGTAAGCTTCTGACACACAATGTTTGAAAGAAACCAAAGCTACGTCAAAGTAACGCAAAGGCTTGTCGTGAGCTCTACTAGAAAACTCGCTGCCTTAGCAAGCACAACCAAGACAACGCACTAGTGGAAGCATTTATTGATATGTACATGTGCCACCATTTACATCACTTTCTCGTGTCTGCTTTCTTTCCAAGATAATTACAAATATCACAAGCGTTAACAGAGCTTGAACAATGTCTTCATCAGCGACTTGCACAATTATTTAGCTCCAGGACATTGAAATTGCAGTAAAAGAAACGGCACGATTCTTATAAAACTTAACTACTGAATTTACTTAATTACTGTTTTCAGAATTTCAACGTCTGTACATAAAATGTAACTTACAGCTGCTCCACTTCTGGGAGGCTTAGCTACAGGGATGACTTCTATTTTGCTCCTTTTACACATCAAACAACTTAATAGGGTAAAACATTAAGCAGAACAACAGCCTCCAATGGCCATACCATGACCAAATATCTAGGCGAAAGCCACACATCACACTGCAGCTTAACTGCTCCATCCAAGCAGTCTTATTCTTTTTTTGAAAGACGAAGGCTTTGAGCTTGTTCATCTTCAAAGCTTACTTACTTCAAGCTCATCTCGGCTAGAAATATAAGCACCCCCTTCGTGGCGATCGAACAATTGTGCGCATGGTTCCGGCTATGTGACTAGCTCTTTTGGGCGAGGCACAGCTGTGGTCACGAATTGTAACACTAGCAGCCAGACTGCAAGCAGCTCCACGTCTATGAGTCAGTTGGTTCTTATGGTGCCAGACCGACCTATGGACACGCTAGCAACAGCAGTGTCTATACTGGCTGCAGAGCCGAATTCACTTTCTCTAGGAGTACGCCTGTATAAGTTGGCTTTGAAAAACTCGTACACGGACCAGGAAATTGCCGTACCAGGCATCTGGAACAATACTCGGGCGTGCAATCCCTGCAAATGCATAGAGTAAAAAACACAACATCAGTCCGAACTCGCATTCAAAGGCTCAAGCAACTTCACCCACATGAATGTTACAAGAACAGCATTGACACAGCAATGTAATTGATTAAATGAGGCATAAGCTTCACCGATGGCATACATGAAGCATAAGTGGCAGCATTAGAAGTGGGGAAAGAAAAGGGGGTGTAGTCCATGCAAACATAGGAATTAATGAGCTCAAAAACTACCCCTCAAGCTTGGTGAAAAAAAAAATTTTGCAGAAAGCATACACAGCTACGAACAGTTCAGCTAGGTCTTGAAGTCATACGTAGCAAGGAGAGTTTACAAGGGGAGCACAAAGTTACCATTTTTAAGCGTGCTCTTTCAGACAGAGGCCCATCTTCACTCTCTTCTGTGGGCAGTGAGCTGGTTGTACACAGAATATTGTAACTGGTTGTACACCTTCTACTTAGGAACAGCAGCAAGTTGTCGGCCAAGAGTTGGAACACCTACCATATGTGCAACAGCCCGTCTTTACTCTATCGATTTCCTTTAGATGAATAAGTTCCTTCATTCCTTCTTTTGATGAATTCTGGGTCCAGTTGCCAAACTTGAATGTTTTCACCAGGCCTCATAACATTATCTTCATCTTTTGCTTATTTACCTTCAACCTACTTCCTTGGTTTAGGCCTTCGATAGTTCTTTTAGTATAATTTTCGCAATATCAAAGGCACGACCCTGAAGTTTAGAATAATCTAGTGATACAATATGGCCACACAAACACAAAATTTGACCATCGAGTTTAACTTAGTGTACTCTTTAAGAAAGGTAATTTAAGTAAACACCCTCTTCATTGTTTAAAGTGTTCTAGCAACACTTTTAAAAGCACTGAAAATTTTAATTGATATTTCACATTCTAAAGTCTTGTACTAAAAAAAATTTTATCCTTGATCCAGTTATAAATATTCCAACTTATTGAGCTAAAAAAGGATCTATGTTATTGGCACCTCCTTTGCATGTTCATGCCACATTTCCTCAAGCACAAAAAGCAAAGCAAACAACTTGACTGATGACAAAATTTTGAATGACCTACCCGAAAGTAACCCTTGATACCACAACAGCTGTAGACTGTTGTTGCTGCATTGATGAGGCCGCTGATCTGAGGCTGATGAGTGGTTTTTAGTAGTGAGGTCTCTTGTGTGTTTAGCAGCGTCTTGCATACATCCAGCGGTGTGGTGACAGCAGCAGCAAATGCACCAGCCACACCACCAGACACCATGTGTGCCATTGGGTCGTATGTGCGTTGTTTGTTGGTTACCACCTGCATGAACTCATAGGTGACAAAGTGGACACACTGGAATGGAATGTTCATGGACAGCTGGGTTGTGTAGCTCCGATAGAAAGCATGTACTCCTTCGTTCTGCCATACATACAGAAAGCACTCTGTGCACCTTTTGAACTGGCTGTTGTACATTTGCATTCGCTGCTTCACCACTGAAAGAAGGAAAAAAAAAAATACATTCAGGGCATCACTAAATGAGAAAAGAGAAAAGCTGGATAAAAAAAGCCTCACCTTCAGCTGGATTCATTATGCTGTCATGCATCACTGTGGCCAAGCAGCCAGCAAGACCTGAAATTGAACGTAAGGTTTAAATGGCAATAGCATTCAGGAAGAATATATTTGGCTGTTTATCGAATCCCAGCTGTGGCAGCTGCATTTCCGGTGGAGGCGAAAATGCTGTAGGCTTGTGTGCTCAGATATGGGTGCACGTTAAAGAATCCCAGGTGGCCGAAATTTTCAGAGCTCTCCACAATGGTGTCTCTCATAATCATACGGTGGTTTTGTGACGTTAAACCCCACATACCTATCAATTGAAATGGCGGTATGCACTTGCTGCAGTGATGGAAGTGACATTTTGGTTTTTGGAGCAGATTCTGGAGCAGGAAAAGTGGTGCTCTGGAGCAGATAGCAAAATATTCTAAACGACTCCTGGAGTTCACTGCATGAATTAAGACTCTTATAAATATTATATTTATTATTACACATATTGCACATATAATAATCACTGCACATTACAAGAAACATAATCAGACAGATGGATGGTATTTGAACATCCAAGTAAGTTATTTTCATATTTTGCAAAAGTGGTCAGTAATGAAACTTTTGACTGATATGTGAGGTTTAACGTCCCAAAACCACCATATGACAATGAGAGATACCGTAGTAGAGGGCTCCGGAAATTTCGACCACCTGGAGTTCTTTACCATCCACCTAAATCTCAGCACACCTTCATTGAAAATGCATCCGCCGCAGCCGGGAAGCAAATAAAATTTCAAAAATGAAATAAGCTAGATGGACTATAATTTAATATGCTTGTTCTTGTGATATAGACGAGGTCAAAGGTTATGAAAGTGCAAAATGTGATCAGTCACATATCAAAGTCATCACTGCAGTGGCTAGAACAACTAAGAAGTCTCACACGCATTTCACCAGAACAGTCTCCTTGTAAGAAACAAATGTACAACTATATCATATATATATATATATATATATATATATATATCTATATATATAGAAAATACTAGTATGCGTAGCACTTTCAATATTCTATGATACAGCTACTGTACAAGCTGTACACTAGATAACAGTGTGCAGTTGGTTTTCATTTAAGCTCGCTGGAGGGTCACATGATTTAACTTCATTGTTTTTAGTTTCCCCAACTCCATCTCAGAGCAGGTTCGGAGTAGTTATTAACAAATATTGCAATTTGGAGCAACATGGAGCAGTACTTCCGTCACGGCTTGCTGGTAACTAAACTTCTTCACTATAAAGCATAGAATCGTGTAAGAATAGTCAGCTCATATTGTTGTGGACATCAGCACCATTTATTTGTAAGCTCAGAGCAAGACTGTGTTCCCACACACTACAAAAAATGTTTTGCTTGTAAGGTAAGGCTCTGCTATACTCGTGGACAACTTTTCTTGGCAATGAAGGAAGGCCACAGGCGAGCGGCTACTGCACATGTGTTGCTCTGCTTAGCAGTCCAGTTTGACTCGTGTTTCGAATTTATTTTGGTTCTTGAACCTTCCTTATCTCCTGTGAGGGCCGTCCGATTCACCGGGCAGTCGCATTCAACAACATTGCATACCATTTGCCCCATTTGCTTTGATAGCAGATTGTTAGTCAAATTCCTCCCAGCTACTTGGAAGTGTCATCGAAAGTGACACCATTTTAACTCTGTGATGCACGTAAAATGTCCGACGTTTCTACATGTGTAAAAGTGTGAAATTCCACTCCATAAAATAAAAGAAATATAAATAATCGGTGCCTTTTTCAAACAACGTCCTGTAAAAAATAATGTTTTTCATGATTCTCATGTAAAAAACAAATAGGCAATTGTGGAATCGTATTCTTCAGTGGCAGCACATACGTAGTTTCGCTCTGAAGCCTTCCCTTCACTGGCAAGTTGTTTGCAAGCATGGCGGTTCGTTTCCTGCCCACGGCAAGTCATCTTTTCATCCACTATCTTCACATTTACATTACAATTAGGTCTAATAACTTCCCCTATACTTTCCTTGCATTATTGTCTGTTAGATCTTGTCTGTTAGATTTGTCAGAACCCCTTACGAACTTATAGCAAAGCCACCACCATCGTTGCAGCCCTGTTGGTTCACGTGCTACGTGACGCCACATATGCGCATAAAAGGGTGTTTCACACTCGCTGCTTGGCTTATAGATGGCGCTGACTGACACTCCTACTTCTAAATTGACATATAAACCCAAAAAAGGTGGATGTGGGAAGGCCGCTGTGATAGCTCAGTGGTTAGAGCATCGAACGCGTTATTCGAAGGTCGTAGGTTCGATTCCTGCTCCCGGCTGGTTATTTTTTCACCCACTTTTCTTTCTTCTTAGTTACTTTCCAATTGTTCTAATAACTTCCCCTATACATTCCTTGGCATTACTGTCTGTTAGGTCTCTTTAATATTGTGTCAAAACACGGAAAAACGAGCCCTTAGGTATACACTTCTTTCCCTTATATATATATATATATATGAAGGAAGTGTATACTTAAGAGCTCGTTTTTTCCTTCTTAGACACAGTATTAATGAGATCTAACAGACGATAATGCAAGGAAAGTATAGGGGAAGTTATTAGACCTAATTGTAAAATATATATATATATACACACACACACACACACAAACACACACAGGGAGCCCCAGGTATCTTTAGCCAGAGGTTAAAAATATCCCGACACACGCAATTAAAACATGCCAAATGCATGTTTGTTGTTGACCGTCGCTTTGAGTTAGTGAGACTACTTTTTGTGTTCTAAAATATTTTTTATTTAGATCTGTTTAATTATTTCTTTGGAAGGAATGAAGATGGATAAAACATTTCAATCACAGTTATAGATCGGTTTGCAAAACGTCCAATTAGAGAGTTTTAAACCTTATATCTATTGATTATTAGTGTTTTTTCTGCTAACTACAAATGCCCGCAAAACACAAAAAATATACCACATTCAAACTGACTGGCACGCCCACTTGCGCGGTAATTCTGGTGCTTTTTAACGTTCCGCCTACGAATGGTACGCTTCCCTCGCATCGGTTCACGATGGCGATAAGCAGTCACAGCGGTTATTGCTTTTGTGGCCGATAGAAAAACGTGTTCATAGCAAAGCCACCACAATCGTTGCGGCCGTCGAGAAAGCACAATCGTGCGAATGCTATGGTCGTTCGTACACAGAACGTTAGGGAGCACTACCATCATCGAGTGCACTGGCACGTGAGCGGGTTCGTCACGTAGTATTTTTTTTTTTATTTTGCGGGCATTTGTAGTTAGCAGAAAAACATTAATAATTTACAGATATAAAGTTTGAAACTGTCTGATCAGACGTTTTGCAAAACAATCTACAACTTTCTCCCTGAAATTTTTTTATCCATCTTCGTTCCTTCAATCATAGCAATTAATCATATTTAATTAACCAATATTTTAGAACACAAAAAAACGGTCTGACTAAGTCCAGGAAATGGTCAGCAATATGCTTTTGGTCGCCTCGTGGCTGCATGTGTCAGCATATTTTTAAACTCTGGGTAAAGATAACTGGGGCACCCTGCATGTGTGTGAGTGTATGTATGTATATATATATTGCCGCGAACGTAATAACAGACAGCGACGAAACGACGTCTTGCTTGCCCTCAGACCAGGACGCAAAAGCCCTCCTCTTTCTTCACTTCCCAAGGAATTCCACCTACAGTTGATGGCTCATACCCATTACCTGTGACATTACTCCCTCTCCTCGAAAAGCATCCGCTCGATGCTGGTAATGAGCGTTGAGAAAAAAATGCGAAAGAAAAGATGCTACCATGGAACCCAACAACTCCGTCGTAAGAGAAAAAAATGGGCTGGCGTCGTAGAAGTACTGAATAAAGAAAGGAGTAAGTACACAAGACAATAAAAAAAAAAACCAGTGACAAAAAAAAATAGTCATTGCATGGTAAGTTAGTCCAAGTTCGATGGATGATGCGAGAAATATGGCTTGAGTCTTGACACGTGCACCACATCACTTTGTGGAAACCGACGGGAACGTCTTGAGGTGCCCTCAGGGAGAAGTTCATACGTAACGTCACTGAGTCGGCGCAGAACTTTGTAAGGGCCGGAGTAGCGCCGAAGCAACTTCTCAGAGTGACCGCGCTGTCGGATGGGAGTCCACACCCAAACTTCATCGCCTGGTTGGAAGGTAACCTCTCGGTGTGTAAGGTTGTAGCGGGGTGCATCGGCAGTTTGGCGAGCCTGAATACGGCATCGGGCGAGTTGACGGGCCTCCTCGGCACGTTGAGCGAACAAGGCAGCGTCCGCGTTGAACATGCCCAAGTTGTTGGGAAGGAGCATTGCATCGAGCATCGTAGTGACCTCTCGACCATGAACTAAGCGGGATGGGGTGAAACCTGTACTTTCTTGGACTGCTGTATTGTAAGCGAAAGTTACGTAAGGGAGTATATCATCCCAGTTCTTGTGATCATCCCAGAGTATATCATCCCAGTTCCCAGTTCTTGTATATCGTCCCAGTTCAATGTATGTGGCCGTTGATCCCAGTTCTTGTGATCAACGGCCACATACATTGACAGCATATCTGCGATTGTCTTGTTCAAGCATTCAGTGAGTCCATTTGTTTGGGGGTGATAACCCGTGGTTTTCCGATGTTCTGTACCACTTAGTCTCAGCACTTCTTTAAGCATCTCTGCGGTGAAAGCTGTACCATGATCAGTAATTATCACAGCTGGCGCTCCGCGACGAAGTACGATGCTGGTGACAGAAAACTGTGCGATTTCGGCTGCGGTAGCTTTGGGCAGGGCCTTTGTTTTGCTGTAACGCGTTAAATAATCGGTGGCAACCACAATCCACCGGTTTCCAGACGAAGAGGTGGGAAATGAGCCGAGCAAGTCAATGCCAATTTGATGGAATGGTGTCTTCGGCGTGGCGATGGGCTGTAGTAGTCCTGCTCGTCGGACAGGTGGAGTCTTACGGCGTTGGCAGTCACGGCATGTGCGGACGTACTGCTTGACTGTCTTCGCGAGGCGGGGCCAGTAGTATGAGCGGCGAATTCTTTCCAATGTGCGCGTGTAG